TGATGTCAATAAAATTTTCTCCTAGGAGTTTGATAGTTTTACTTTATGTTTAGGTCTATGAGCCACTTTGAATTAATGTTTATGAATGGTCTGAGGTTAGGGATCTAGATTTCTTTTTTTTTTTTTTTTTTTGGTAACAGATTTCCAGTTGTTCATTGTTCCAGCACTGTTGAACACTGTTCTTTCCCCATCCAAGTTTGTTGGCACCTTTGTCTAGAATTGACTCTATGTGTATATGTGGGTCCATGCTGGAACTACTCCACTGACCTACATGTTTATCCTTATACCAATATCTCATTGTTTTAATTCCATAGCTTCACTGTGTCTTGAAATTAGGAGGGGTAAGTCCTCTAACTTCTTTCCTCTTTTTCAAGATTATTCTGAATATTTTGGAGTCTTCACATTTCCATGTAAATTTTAGGATCAGCTTGTCAATTTCTAGAAGAAAACTGGCTGAAATTTTGACTTTGCATTGAATCTATAAATCATCATTTTCAGACTGAACATCTTAGCAATTTTGAACTTTCCAATCTGTAAATAGACTACATCTGTTTATTTAGATCTTTCATTTCTCTCAGCAACATCTTCTAGTTTTCAGAGTACACAGGACTTGTGTGTCTTTCATTCATGAATCCCTAAATATTTTTTCTTTTTATAATAAACGGTATTGAAATGTCTTAAAATTTCTGATTGTTAATTGTTCTGATCTTTTTTCCTTTCCTTTTCTCCCTTAAAGAGATTAGGTCTTTAGGGCTGGGGCTGGGGCTTAGTGGTAGAGTACTCACTTAGCATGCAGACCAGGGTTCAATCCTCAGTACCACCAAGAACAAATACCACCAGATGAGTCCTAGAGCAAAATAAGCCCTGGGAATACTTAGCAAGCATCCAAGAGATTAGGTCTTACTTAGCTGCCCAGGCTGACCCTGAACTGCCTGTCTTAAGCAATTTTCTTTCTTTTTGGGGAAGAGGGAGTACCAGGGATTGAACTCAGGGGCACTCAACCACGGAGCCACATCCCCAGTCCTTTTTTGTATTTTATTTAGAGACAGGGACTCACTGAGTTGCTTGGGCCTTGCTAAATTGCTAAGGCTGGCTTTGAACTTGCAATTCTCCCATCTCAGCCTCCCAAGCCACTGGGATTATAGGCATGTGCCACAGGACCCAGGTTAAGCAATTTTCTTGCTACAGCTTTCTAAGTGGCTAGGACTATAGACAGGCAGGTGCCACCAGGCTCACACCCCACTCTGATTTTCAATTCCAGCCTTTCTCTAAGTCCTGCCACTTCATGGACTGCTGTATCAGTTCTGCATCTGGTTGAGTTCCCTTCAGAGCACTGCGATGTCTGACTGGAACGAGAGGTGAGCGTGGGAGGAGTTGCGGGTGACAGTGTCGGCGTTTTGCATCCTGGATGACTGTGCTTGGAGTTTCTCTGGCTCACGATTTGACAGGCTTCATTTGTATTGTGCTGTGTCTCAGGAACTATGCTAATGGTTAGTGATATGGCTCATAGTCCCTGCCCTAGAAACCCACAGAACAGTGGGGACAAGTGATCAGTAACAAGGTGTACAGAGTTTCCATGGGAATGCAGAACAGAGGGCCCACGCCTGGTTTCTGAAGTCACTGTGAGAAAGCTGTACCTGGAGAGGCAGCAGAGGCTCATCCTGAGCCCAAGAGGGGAGTCAGCCCGAGTGGCTACAGAGTCCAGCCCAACCCTGGTGGGTGGCTGGCTGGCCACGTCATGCACCAATGTGAATTCTCTCAAATACACATGCAAAAACTCCAACAGCTGGCCCACATGTGAAAGGCCCTTCTACAGCTCACAAGGAGACCCCCCAGATGGACAAGATACAAACACTTCCGGCCCAGCAGAAGGCAGCTGTGAGTTCTCCAGGTACCTATTAGAAAAGCAAAAACAAAACCCTGAGATGACCATGTCTAACCTCAGGGTAAAGTACCCGCTTGGCACCAAAGCTTTGGGGCTGTGTTACAAAGAAGTGGATTGCTAGTGGTCTGTCTACCTCCCCCTTTCTTGCTACATGTTCTTTCAAGATGCTGAGGGGTGGAAAAAGTTGAGCTAAGCTGTCTAGCCGAGGCTGCCTCCTCTACAAACCACACAGATTGCTGTCTTCAAAGGAAATCAGCATTTTTTTTTTTTTTTTGCCAGCATTCAGTCCTACATAAGGTTCCAATGACCCAAAAGCGGCCTGTGAGCTTACCCAGATGCCTGTAGTGACCATGTTTCTTTCTTTTTTTTCCTCCCCTCTGTCCTCTTCAGCGTCACTTTCTTCTTTTCTTAGGTGACAGCACCTGGTTTGCCCTATTGTCAAGGAAACAGTCCCCTCCCTCATGACCAGGACCTCATTTCTGCCAGCAGCTGGGGTGGCTCTTGAGAAGGCTACTGATCATCGAAACAGAGACCATGGATGAGACTCTTAGAGAGTACAAAGACAGCACCAAGTAAGAGGAGGAGACAACCTGCTATCTGCTGCCAGGCCTGCAGCAACTCCATCATTATTGAGTGGTCCCGTGGAAGAGGAGGTGTGTGCAGACGCTACAGACTCCAGTGGAAGGACGTGTGTCGAGGAGAGGAAGCGGCCAACCTTGTGGGACACTACCTCAGAGCCACAGGAGGTGAGGGCTGAGAAAGGCCTTTGTTGTCTGTGACAGGGAGGTTACCCGGGGCCTTAGGGCAGATTCAGTGGGGGAGTGAGGGAAGGGGACGGGCAGTCACAGAGTGTTGGGAGGAAATACAGACAATTCTTCAGCTGGGCAAGGCAGGAGATGGGGAGTAGGCTAGAGAAACCGTGGGAGTCACCACATTTTTTAATTTTAAAAGAAAGTGAGGAGCCAGGCGCAATGGTGCACGCCCAGAATCCCAGCAACTAGGGAGGCTGGGGCAGGAGGATCACAAGTTTAAGGTGAGCCTGGGCAACTTAGAGAGACCCTATCTCAATAAGGACTAAATAAAAAATAAATAGGGCTGGGGATGTGGCTCCGTGGTAGAGCGCCCCTGGGTTCAATCTCCAGGACCAAAACAGAAAGAAAGAAAATAGAAAGCACTGGGTCCCCAATCAGGTCAAAGGGCCATCCCTAAACCAACTGGTATGACCAAGATTATATTTTGGCTTCAGTCAATCAGGATCCTTTCTTCTACACCTGGGGGTGGACTCAACTCCATCCAAACTCCACATCTGAATATGAGGGGTTAAGTGTGGGAAAGAGGAGTCTGCACACCAGGGAGCCCCTCACCACATGGTATTCTGGTACTCGCCAGGGGGAACATCTTCTTTGGTTCTCAAATAGCTCCAAAGTCACAGTAATATATCTAAGACCATTTTAGATCATTGGGGATAGAGCTCAGTGGTAGAGCACTTGCCTAGCATGTGGGAGGCCCTGTGTTTGATCCCTAGTACCACAAAAATAAGTAATAAATAGATACCACTTCAAAACCACGATAAGACCCCCAACTCAGGAAGCAAGCCTAGTCATCAGAGGTGATTTAGGAGCTCAGCAATCCAGAGGCCCTGGGATAATGCATTTATTAACCCAACAGTTCTAGCCATGGGACTTAACTGAAGGAGGAGAGGTTGGAACGACATTGGGAAGACTCTAGGTAATGCCCACTGTAATGTGTCTCTGTCAGCTGATGAGCGTCCACATACTGTGCAAAAGCGCTCAAGTTTCTGGGTGATGCTGTTTTATGGCTCAGGACTTCCTTCCCACCCTGTCTCAGTTTGGGAAATCTTCCTGGGCACCTGCTATGTGTCAATTGTGCTTTGTGCTAGGTGTGTAACTATATGTTTCACAGCTACATATGATCTGTTTGGTGGTTCTGTGAACACGGAGTCAGAAAGACCAAAGGTGAGGATGACCTCACCCACTTATCTGTGTGACCTTGGGCAAATTTCATCTATGCCTCAATGCTATCTTCTATAAAGCAATAATAATTGAAGTTCCTAGCTCAAAGGGTGGTTGGGAGGAGTCACTGAGATAATACATGACAAATGTTTAGCACAAAGTGAGGGCTCATTAAAAACTAGCCACCACTTCAGTAACCTTCTTGGTCTGTTTATAACATATAAATCCTAGCATATTGATACTATTATCTTCATTCACATTCCTTCACTGAGCACCTACTATGTTCTGGGTGTTGCAGATCCACAGTGACCAGAGGAAGATTTAAATACAAAGATGAGGGGATCAGAGAACTAAGCTTTCAGAAAAGAGGAACAACCAAGGGAAATTCCGAGGACATGTGAAGACCAGGAGAGATGGTGTTGGGAGGGCCAAGATCTGCATGTCAAGGAGGGGAGTTCTTCAGAAAAGCCATGTCACTTGTGGGTAGGTGGAGAGAGAGGCCTGACCCCTAAGGAGAAACTGGAGACTCCATGGCGAATCAGCTCCTGCAGAGAACTCACAAGCTTGTGATGGGAAAGGGAGCCAAGAGGATCGAGAATGCGAGCAGAGGGACTGGCTCTGATGGACGTAAACTCTTCATTGTGAACAGGGAAGGTGAACGTGGGGGTGGGTGGGTGCAGAGATGACAGGGCCTATCTGCTGGACTTGATTGTCTCTGTGAAGTGTGAGGCAAGGTCATTGCTTCGATTGAAGGAGGAGAGGAAGGGTATGCAGAGTTTGGTGGAGAGTTGACTCTTAAAAAGAAACATGGGGTGGGCTGGGGTGGTGGCTCAGTGGTAGAGCACTTGCCTGGCGTGTATGAGGCACTGGGTTCGATTCTCAGCACTGAGTATAAATAAATAAAATAAAGGTCCATCAACAACTCAAAAATACATATTAAAAAAAATATGGGACAGGCTGGGGTTGTGGCTCAGTGGTAGAGCGCTTGCTGGCACGTGTGAGGCATTGGGTTGGATCCTCAGCACCATATACAAATAAAATGAATAAAATAAAGATCTGTCAATGTCTAAAAAATAATTTTAAAAAAATGAGAGGATTGCTGGGCAGGAGTGAAGCCTCACTTGAAATTTATGGACACCCACTTATGTGGCAGCAGTTACTTATAATTTTATTGAAATGTTGAGATGTGCTGATTTGGGGGGAAATCGGGGAATACCTGGTCTTCTCTAGGGTTGGGCAAGTTAGTAGAAAAGGGAGTGGGTAAAGAGTTTATGGCTATTTGCAAGGAAGTGAATATAACGATCATTGAATACTTAGGGAGGACCCAATAAACCCAAAAGGGAAGGTGAAGTCCGGCAGGGCCACAGGTTAACAGGTCTTGAGGCAGCTGAAGAAACAGTCCTATGTTGATTCTTTAGCAAGGACATTAAGGTCAGATTTGAGGCCTTTGGGATTGTTTTCTGAGACAGTGTAATTATCGGTGAGGGTGAGCCCATGGGAGTGGGGACCCAGGAAGAGGGGAAGGAGACCCACTGGTAGGGAAGAAATCAGTGAGAAGTCAATAAGATTTCTGGTGAGGGGCTGGTGGTGGCTCAGTGGTGGAGCGCTTGCCTCCCACATGTGAGGCACTGGGTTCGATCCTCAGCACCACATAAAAATAAAGATATTGTGTCCAAGTACAACTAAAAAAATTTAAAAAATATTTCTGATGAGTTCAGCTTATAGATGCTGAAGTCATCAAGCAAGGCAGAGGGGCAGGTGGAACCATATGACAGGATGAGTTTTAAGGGGGTTTGGGTTTTTTAAAGAGGGAGGAAACAGTATTCAAAATATTATCGCGCCCACACCACCCCACATCCCCTTTTCAATGCAGCCATGTTCAATGCCACAGGTTCCCGTGCTCACTGCAATAGCTGGTGGGTCTCGGTGAGGATCTGACCTATAGGCAGCCAATCTGTAGAAGGACCCATGACCTGTCACTGAGCTGTCAATATGATGAGCTATGCCAACCAGATTTGGCTTGGGAATCTCAACCATGAAACACATGAAATTGTCATTTAATAGAAGGCAATGCAGAGAACAAAGGAGGGACAAAGCTACCAGGATGACCCCATGTAGATAGAATAAGGGAACAGAACTACATGAAGCTGAGGACGCTGGTTAGTAGAGGAAAAAAGAGCAGAGGCAACAAAAGAAGTAGAAATGGGGCCTCGTGGGCAGAGGTGGTGTTGGGTGCTGAGCCCTCTCATAAGGTAAACCTAAACTTTCAAGTTTTTGAACAGGAAAGCAACATGATCAGACCTGAGTGTGGATTCCACTCCCAGATTGTCTAGCACTGAACTCATTAGCTGTGTGATCTGGGACAAGTTATGTAATCTCTGTGCCTCATTTTCCTCATCTGTAGAATGGGAATAATAACGTAATGTCCCCTTAGGGTCATAAGGACTAAGTGAGAAACTACACACAACCAACTCTGAACCACAATGCTTCCTTTTGATCCCATTTTCTTCTTGTTTCTTAAATAATTGAAACTAATTTCAGAAAACTTTCCCTTGGGCCTACTTTTCCTTCTGGGATGGGGTCTACTTTCTCTTGGTTCTCTCTACTCTGCCCCAGGGACAATTTTTTTTTTTTTGTCTATCTTTTGGTCTCTTCTGTCTACATTCTTTCCCTATGTGAACTCATCCAGCTATCTTGTGCTTTTAAATACCTTTAAATGTCATTTACTGGCTGGTTCTTTCCAGTTTAACCCTAGCTCTGACTGCTTCCTCAACTCCAGACTTCCATATCTGGTCACTTACAGGATATCTCCACTGACGCCTCCAATAGTCATCTCCAAAATAACTTGCTCCAGGGCTGGGGGTTGTGGCTCAATCATACAGCGCTTGCCTAGCATGTGTGAGGCACTGAGTTCGATTCTCAGCACACATACAAAATAAATAAAATAAAGGTCCATCAACAACTAAAAAATATTAAAAATAACTTGCTTGAGTTGAACTCATACTCCCTCTTCCCCGAAAAAACTTTGTTCCCTCTACAGTCTCCATTCAGTAAATGGCAAATCTTTCTAGGGTTGATTCAGCTTAAAAACTTAGCATCCTCCTGGACTTCTTCCTACTTCTCAGTTATCACCAATACATCAGCAACCATCTAGAATACTTTGGAGGGGGAGGCTTCTTGCCTCTTCCAATGCTACTCCCCTGGTTGAAGCCACCATCATCTCTCTGCTGCATGACCTTGAGCAAGCTTCTTTTCAGAGGGCCTCTGTTAGGATTCAATGAATTGTTATTTGTAAAATGCTTCACAGCGTCTATTATATAGGTAGACATTTAAAATAAATGTCTACACTATAGAAATAGCTTGCTCAGGCCCCAGTCCCCCTTACAGTCCATCCAGAACACCGCAGCTGCACGATCCTTTTGGAGCCCAGGTCAGAACTGGTCACTGCTCTGCGTTCGAGCTCCTGCCACCCTCTGCTTACCAGACCAAGGCTGTCCTCTGGCCTCCTTACAGGGTATGTGCGCCTCTACTAGTCACATGGCCCTTCCTTTCAATGGGTTACTTCCTAAGTCAGACCCTCCTTGGCCACCCCACAAACAGCCACACTGTGCTAGCCTGCCTACCTGCTCTCTCACTGATTTTTCTCCACATCTCTAACCATCCTGGACATTATCTGTTCTTGGTAGCTGACTGTCCCCCAGTCAGCATTCAAACTCCATGCCAGGGGCTGGGGACATAGGTCAGTGGAAGAGCAAGCCCAGAATGCAGGAGGCTCTGAGTTGAATCCCAGTGGCAACCCCCCAATAAAAGCTCCACACCAGAGCAATCTGTTTTGTTCCCGACTGTATGACCAGAGCCTAGCATGGAGCCTGGCACATAGGTGCTTGATAAATACTGGTAACAACTTACTAAGTGCCCGTCCCTTCTCTGAACTCTCTTTCTTTTAATACTTACTTTTTAGTTGTAGTTGGACACATACCTTTATTTTACTTATTTATATGTGGTGTTGTGGATCGAACCCAGGACCTCAAATGTGCTAGGTGAATGGTGCATCACTGAGCCACAACCCTAACCCCTTCTCTGAACCCTTATAATCCCATCTATACCATTCTTTATATGTCCGTGGCTTTACACATTTTGCAAACTTTATGAACTCATTTATGCGGTTACTGTCCCCTCAGAGGTGACCTGATTTGATTCCAAAGAGGGCAAGAAAGGGAGAGTTGGTATTACTAGCAGGATTTACTTTCCAGGTCTCCTGCATTCTAAACCAAGCTCAACAAATATTTGTTGAATGAAGAGAGGAAAAAGAAGGGAAAAAAAATTCTGAGCTACTGTGTGGAGGAAGGCAGTCCCATAGAGCTGAATCTCTGTAGAAAATGTAGAAGGTTGCATATGACCTAGTATTTACTGAGCCCACATTTCTAATCTCTTCACCTGTGTCATCATAACTACCCTGTCGCAGGTAGGACAGCAATCTATGTCTTATTCACCTCTATCATCTTTTAGTGCCTAAAACAAGGCCTGGTATATAATAGGTGCTCAATAAAAGGGTGCAGCCCAAAGCTCTTTGATTCTGGAGACCAGGTTCAGGTGCAGTGCTGGGCTCCAGGTCCCACGGGGCCCCACCGGTAGCAGGCGGCAGCGCTGGGATTCCATGTCAGGTTCCACTCGCGGAGCTCTCTCTTGGAGTTGGGCTGGGCTGGGCCGGGCTGGGCCGGGTTGGTCCGCGGTCCTCACCAGTTCCGGGTCCACTGACGGCGTGAACGCGTGCATCGGGTGGGGCGCTGAGGGACAGTCCCCTCCCAGCCTAGTACCTTCCGCATCTTCGCCTGGGGGTTCTTCGGGCGGGTGAAAGCGGTCCCTCTGCAGCCCCGAGCTATGCAGCCACTGACTAGGGGGCTGAGCATCGCAGCCGCAGGGGACCCCT